CGGCAGGACACAGCAGGGGCTTTGGCTGCCCGTTCCACTGCCCCAGCACCTGGTGCAGCGTGAGGCCTCGCTGTCTGCCACCCTCCAGGAAGGGTCCCTGCAGCGTCGGGGATGGCATTGGGGCTGGGGCCGGCTGGGAAAAACCTGGGGGGCAATAAGGCAGAGCCCATGGGGGTTGCAAAGGTCTCCCCCAAGAGGGGGGCACCCATGGGATGTGGGCTGGGGCAGGACAGCGGTGCCTACCCTTGAATGTTGGTGGCAGCTCCGTTGTCTGCCCTGTCTCTGTGTCCTCGCAGGTGACCTTCTGCAGTGTCACCGCCATGACCTTCAGCAGGTCACCCGTCGACAAGCAGCATTCGTTACCTGAGATCTCGTACACAGACCCTGCAGGGTGAGGAGGGAGATTTCTTCAAAGAAAATGCCTCTACCAGCATTTAATAGAATCACAAAATGGTCTGGATCAGAAGAGACCTATAAAGATTGTCTGCTCCAACACCACCCCCATGGGCCCATCCAACCTGGCCTTGGGCACCGCCAGGGAGGGGGCACCCACAGCTTCTCTGGGCAACCTGGGCCAGGGCCTCACCGCCCTCTGTCCTTCATGGCTTCCTCAGAACACCTGCAGGCGGTTGGTGCTCCTGTCCAGCATTGGGGACACCTGACTGAACACAAACGTAGGAAGGAGGTGCACAAGAGGCAGCAGCAGGACCGGGTGGCCCAGGAGGAGCACAGAGATGTCCCTAGCATGCAGGGACAGGGTCAGGAAAGCCAAAACCTTCCTGGAGCTGAATCTGTCAAAGGATGTGAAGGGCACCCTCAGCAGGTTTGCAAATGACACTAAAGGGGGAGGAGAGGGTGATGGGCCAGAGGCTTGTGCCGCCATCCACAGGGACCTGGACAGGCTGGAGGAATGGGAATGTGGGGAAGTGCTAAGTCCTGCCCCTGGGAAGGAACAACACCAACAGAGCTGGAAAGCAGCTTGGTAGAGAAGAACCTGGGGGTCCTGGTGGACACCAGGTTGAACACAAGCCAGCAACGTGCCCTCCCTGTGACGGTGAATGTGTCCTGGTCTGCATCAGGCAAAGCATTGCCAGCAGGGCCAGGGAGGGGATCCTTCCCCTCTGCTCTGTGCTGGTAAAGCCACCCCTGGAGTGCTGGGTCACACCAAAGGGCCACACAGACAATGAAGAGACTGGACCATCTGTCCCATGAGGAAAGGCTGACAGAGCTGGAGAAGGCTCTGGGGCATCTCATCACTGTACAGAAATACCTGAAGAGAGGCTACAAAGCCACGTTCTTCCCAGTTGTGCCCAGTGCCAGGACCAGAGGCAATGGGCACAAACTGGAACACATGACATTTCCTCAGAATTTAGGAAAAGATTTTTTTACTGTGATGGTGGTGAAGCACTGGGCCAGGTTGTCCAGAGACGTGCGGTCTCCATTACTGAAGAGACTCAAAACCCAGCTGGACAAAGGCCTGAGCAAGCAGCTGGCCCTGCTTGAGCTGGGGGCTGGCTCGGATGATCTGGAGAGGTCCTGCCAGTGTGGGTGATTTACCGATTCTCATCGCAGGCAGCTGTGCTGTGAGCCATTGCAAACACCAGTTACACAGTGAGGGCCCCTCTCCTGGGCAGCTGTGATGAGGTCCCCGGGGAAGCAGGGAAGGGGCTGAGCCGTGGCCTGGCCATGGGCTTTGTCCTTTCTGGAGCGTGAACCAAGCACGGGCGACCCAGCCCTCACCCTGTGGCTGTGGGAGAACAAGGTGACCCCCGACCCCTGAGACTGCAGATGGGGGCCATGGGATGGGGATGGAGGGCACCATCCAGGGAAGGGCAGGGCTGGTCCATGGGCTCAGTGGTGGGGCTGGCACACCCGGTGGGCAGGGGGAGCCTTGGCCATGGGGTAACACACTGGTTTGGGGCCCTGACACATGCAGCCACCCCGGCAGGACAGAGAGTGCCAAGGCTGGAGATGCTGTCAGATGGGCTGGGCATCACCACCCCATCTGCTGCTGCAGACACTGCCCACCCCTGACCACCGTGGAGAAGGGGGTAGGACTGGCTGGGAGGGTGCCTGGGAGTCAGGGGAACCTCGAAGAGGAAATAAATGTGGGGAAAAAACCCCACAGGAAGAGGTGGATGAAAGCAAGGAAGTTTCACAAAGTACCATGTGTTGCTTAAGCCCCAGTCCCTCTCCTCCAGCCCCCATGTGCCCTGTCGCATCGTGAGCATCCAGGGCGTGGTCTGAAGACGGGGGAAACCCACAGCCGGGCTGCACTGCCCCGAGCACAGAGATGCCTCCCACCCCTGGCACAGAGACCTGAATAACTCCATGCACATGTGGCAGAGTTGGCAACAGGACACAGACACGCATGGCTGGGGGTGCCCTGCGCAGGGCCCCAAAGCTCCTCAGCTCCACCGCAGCACCAGGCCGGGACATGGGCCTCAGAGGGGCCGGGAGCAGCAGCAGTTTTGGTTAACATTTGGGGAGTGCCTGAAACTTCTGCTAACAAAAACCCAGAAAAACTGACAGTCAGTAACTGCAGAGAATCCAGAAGTGGGCAAGAAACACCATCAGCACAGGACGGCACATTGGCAGGGTGCAACACTGATCCCAGTGCACGTCTGCAAGGACCGTCACTGCTCACCTCCAGCCAAGGGAACACACAACCGTAGGGAGGGCTGAGGGGACTTTGTTGGGCTAATCCTGATTTCTAAGGACTCAGGGGTACCTGGATGCCTGCACAGCCCATGTCCTGGAAAGACTGCAGTGCTGGTGACCGCAGGGGTTGAAACAGAGGAGAAAAAGCAGTGGGGAAGAGCACAGCAGACTGGCTGAACTGATGGAACTCAACAAGAAGTGCAGCAGGAAGTGCAGCACAGATGATGCTGTGAAGGGCTGGGGTAGATGTGCCTGGCCTGGAAATGGAGCATTTCCTGGAGCAGGAGCTCCTCAGGCCATGCTACCACACCATGTCTTCCAGCACAAACAGTGTCCTTGTCTACCCTTAAATCTCTGCATTCACTGAGCTGCTACCAAACCTGTGCAGCCCCAACCTTCTCCCTACCCTGAGATGAACTCATGACCAGCCCCTTGCCATGTGAAGCAGAAAGCAGGACCTCACCACAGCCACCAGCAACAGCTACACAAATTGATCACTGCTTCTGGAACAGTGGCATTTCTACTCATTTAGCAACGTTAAGATGATGTCAAGGCTACCAGAAGTCTTTGGGGAAGATAATGTCCACCCCAAGTGAGTTACAGAATAGCGGAGACCACTTCTCTTTAAAAGCCCATGTAGCCTAGACAAATGCTACAAACCCTACAAGTCCTGATAGCAATTGCCACACTGGTGTTGCCAGGATCCTGCTGTGCATGCCCAGCTTTTTTGGGAGCCCCAGGAACCCAGCAAAAACATGTGCTGGTTTCTGGTTCTGTTTCACCACCACTGTTGCCACAACGCAATGTTTGCCAAGGCGTCTCCTCGCCCTCTGGTGACTCTGGAGGAGCAGAGGGCTCAGACCAGGCTGCTTCCTGTGCCTTTGCTGGGTTCCTCACCCTGCCAGTGCTGTCTCACCTTCCTCCAGTCACCCCAGCTCCACCCTGCCAGACCCACGGTGATTCACTGGGATGAGAGCTGGGCATGAAGGGGAGGACCGGCTTGGATGGTGCCCCACCGCCTGCCTAGCAGCGCAACCAAGTGTCCAGGGGCACTCAGCTGGGGGGCACTGGGTGTGGAAGAGAAAGATTTTTGGAAGCCGCTGTGCCTTAGGCACTGTTGTCTGCTGGTGGCACCAGGACCTGCGGTGGCAGGACACAGACACCCTTCGAGGCAGGAGAGGGGAGCCACAGCCTTGGGACACCCAGCACTCACCTTGGAAGTAGACACCGGAGCAAACCCTGAGGACACGGGGCAGGGTGGCGGGGTCCAGGGCACAGATGTATTCCTGGAACGAGAGGGGCTCCATGGCCGTGCTGCCAGGAGCTCCAAGGCACTCTGCAGAGAGGGGAAGGGTGTGGGAAGCCACTCTGGGCTCTGCTTTCGGTTCTGCTTGCCTTTCACTTCTGCTTCTCAGAGTGGCAAGTTCCCTCCCTAGCCATGGTTCTGCACTGCTGACAGCTCTCCCGTCTGCACAGCCTGACCCCGCTTCTGGGACAACCCTTCCTGGCCCCCATCATGGCCTGGCACCCCCCAGTCCTGGTCCTGATCGTGCCTCTGGGTGTAGGCATCAGTCCTGCAGCTCCGCTGTGGTGCTGCCCTGGCTGCACCGATGTCCCAGCCCATCCAACCCAGGACATCTCAGTGCCCTGCCTGTCTGCTCGGGGACCAGACAGAGCAACGGTGCTGTGGAGAGAGGGCAGCAGAGAAAGTCCCTCACCCCTTACAAACACACAGGCTCCTCCATCCCGCTCGCCTCGGGCTTTCAGACCCCACTGGCCCTGCCACAAACTTCCCATGTGTAACGGTCTGTGTCCAGCGTGGGGAGGAGATGGCAGTCAGTGGGTCTGGACTGGGCGGCACCGCAGCAGCAGCAGCCGTGGGAAAGGCAGAGCCAGATTCCCCCAGCTCTGGACAGGCAGCAGCACCTGTCCGGGTCCTGCCCCAAAGCAGCTGAGCTGCCAAGGTGGAAATGACAGCTCTGGGAGCTGCTGCTCCTGATGAGCTCCATCTTTATTATGGTTTTCCTTAACTTGTCCTGTGAACCAATTCAAGCTGCAAACTAGGAACAGGATGGAGAAATGAAACTTGGATAAAGCTGTTTTCTAGTAAATGATGCAGAAAAGAGAGACCTTTTGGTTTTACTCCCAGAAGGAAGCTGAGGAAGTTGAGCTGTGTTTAACAGGAATTTGTGTTTCATACTATTCAGCACAAGGCGAAGCAATCTGAGGAACAGAGAGTGCTGGTGCATCGAGATTCCTCCCACACAAGGTAATGTCAAGATGTCACACAGAGCATCATAGCAGCAGCGATGTCTAAAGGACTTCAGCCCAAACTGACACTGGCAGCTGGACTATCCTGGGCACCAGAGCAAGTCAAACGTGTCAAGGTCACAGAATCACAGAACCATTAAGGTTGGAAGAAACCTCCAAGATCACCAAGTCCAATGGTCAACCCAACCCCACCATGGCCACTAAACCATGTCCACAAGTGCCACATCCAGGTGCTTCTTGAACCCCTCCAGGGATGGGGACTCCACCACTGCCCTGGGCAGCCCCTGCCAGTGCTTGACCACTCTTTCAGTCAAGAAATTTTCCCCACATCCAATCTAACAATCCCTGACACAACTTGAGGCCGTTTCCTCTCGTCCCATCACTTGTTTTTTGAGAGCAGAGACCGACCCCCCTCGCTACCCCCTCCTCTCAGGAGCTGCAGAGTGGATAAGGTCTCCCCTCACCTCCTTTTCTCCAGTTGAACCCCCCAGCTCCCTCAGCCACAGGTGTGGTGTGGCACATTTAGGATTGGGGATACAGGTGAAAAGATCTGGGAACTGCCAGGTATCAGCCCCCTTTGGAGAGCTGGCGAGATGCTAGCTCTGTTCACAGCAGGACAGGCTGAAGAAGACGTGGGGGGGAAACAGTGACCAGGAATGAGAAAAAGGCTGAAGTACTCAATGCCTTCTTTGCCTCAGTCTTTAGTAGAAAATCCAGCAGTGCACTGGGTACCCAGCCCCTGAGCAGGCAAATGACGATGCAGAAGGCCCATCCAGCAGTTTACCTAGAGTCAGCCCAACATATTATAACAGGCCCCGTTAAGAAAAAAGGGAAGGGAATTGTGGTAGGCGACCAGAGCCGTCCCACAGTGACGTCTGCTGCCTCCCTGGGGCCTGGGTTAGAGCCATTACTGGGAAACTCTCTGGTCTGGTATGGCCCTCTGATTATTATCTGCTGTTAGTTGTTCAGGCTGGTAGTGATGAAGTTGAGCAGTGAAGTCCCAAGGTGATCAAAAGGGACCTGAGGGCACTGGGCAAGTGGTTGAAGGATCGGGGGCACAGTGTTTCCCTCAGTCTCTTCAGTGGCAGGGAATACACTGATGGGAACAGGAGAACTCTCAGATCAACACATGGCTCAGAGGATAGTGCCATCAGTGTCAATGTGGGGGACTTCAACTTCCCAGCTGTCAGCTGGGGATACACCACAGCAGAGAGGAAACGGTTCCGGAGGTTCCTGGAGTGCGTGGGAGATCACTTCCTGATGGCGCTGGTCAGTGAGCCGACCAGGGGAGGTGCCTGCTGGACCTGCTGTCCACAAACAGGGGAGGACTGGTGGGAGATGTGGTGCTTGGAGGCCAGCCTGGGCTCAGTGACCATGAAATGATGGAGTTCTCAATTCCTGGTGAAGTAAGGAGGGGGGGTCAGCAAAACCACCACCACAGACTTGGAGGGCAGACTTTTGCCTGTTCAGGATGCTGGTAGAGAGAGTCCCTTGGGAGACAGCCCTGAAGGGCAGAGGGGTCCAGGAAGGGTGGGCTTTCTTGAGGAAGGAAGTCTTAGAGGCACAGGAGCAGGCTGTCCCCGTGTGCCATAAGATGAACCAGTACGGAAGGAACTGGCTTAGCTGAGCAGGGAGCTTTTGCTGGAACTCAGGAAAAGAAAGGAAAGCATCTCACTTTTGGGAGAAAGGGCAGGCAACACGAGAAGAGCACAGGGATCCTGTACAGCCCTCGCTTCCCCACAGCAAGCAAGCACTCTGCAGGGGCTGCGGAAAGACCGTTTGTTTCCCATAGCAGACATTTCCACATCAGCCATGCAGGGCCCAGTGTCAGGATGGCTCAGGCTCCTGAGCACCACCTCCCCTCTCCAAGTTCGAATTTGGAGGTAATCCTGCTCAGGAGGTGCCCCCTCCAGAGGCATCCCATGACAGCAGGGCAGCACACAGAGATGCTCCAGCTCAGCAGCACATGCAAAAGAAATCAGAGCCCTGAGTGATGAAACCGCTCACCCCGGGAAGCAGGGCTCAGCTCACTGCTGGGGCCAGAGCAGCTGTGCAGCCAAAGGACCAGGAAAGGGAAAGTCAGCAGAGAGGGCCCTGCAGGGTCATGTCCTCCCTGATGACACAGTCCATGCTTCCCTGCTGTTCACCACCCAGCCCTGTGCTCAGGCCAACCCTGCACCACCTCTTGCTACACGAGACGCATCCTTACGCTCTCCAAGGTCAGTGACTGACACAAGACCCAACTGAGATGGCATCTCCCTATAAAGGGATCCTTTCCCCAGCTTCAAGCCATCATGTACCACTGTGCAGCACAGCAGTGGGTGAGCCAGGACCACAGAGCGTTTCTGTTTCTCACCCTGCAGAGGCTCTAACCAGGGCGATGAGGAAGGGCAGCAGGAGCAGGGGACTTGCATCAGAGGAAGTTGCCACTTTCTGCCTCATGCGGTGAGCCAGGAAACAACGCAACTGCTTTTTTTCCCCTCCAGTTGTGTATTTGCTGAAGTGGAGCAGAACACATCCGTTGTTAGCAACATGGACAAATACAGGTGAAAACTCTGTTGGAAATGGCTTCTAGAAATTCAAATCACAGAATCACAGAATCGCTCGGTTGGCAAAGCCTTCTGAGATCATCACGTCCAACTGTTCCTGTCTACCCCCTAAACCATATCCTTAAGTACCTCATCTACCCACTCCTTAAACACATCCAGGGATGGTGACTCCACCACCTCCCTGGGCAGCCTGTTCCAGTCTATGATGACCCTCTCAGTAAAGAACTTCCTCCTTATCTCTGACCTGAACCTCCCTTGGCACAGCTTGGTGCCGTTTCCCCTTGTTCTATCCCCCATCATCTGGGAGAAGAGCCCAGCACCCACCTCTCTACAACCTCCCTTGAGGCAGTTGTAGGTGGTGATGAGGTCTCCCCTCAGCCTTCTCTTCTCCAGGCTAAACAACCCCAGTTCCCTCAGCTGCTCCTCATCAGGCTTGTTCTCCAGAGCCCTCCCCATCCTTGTGGCTCTTCTCTGAACACGCCGCAGAATCTCAACATTCTTCTTCTAGTGAGGGGACCAGAACTGAACACAGGACTCGAGGTGCGGCCTCACCAGTGCTGAGTACAGGGGGATGATCACCTCCCTGGACCTGCTGGTCACACTGTGACTAGGTACGAGTAATGGTCTTGACCAGGATTCTGTTCAGCAGCAAGCAACTGCAAAGCCTACGTCTTAGATCAAGTAGTTGTGTTCTGCATAACTGAGATAAAGTTGTTAAGAGATAACAAAAAAAAGTAAGACTTCTCTAGCAAATGGGTCCAATGATACCAAATAAGGCAAAACTGCTGGCTAGCAACTGCCACTAGTCAGAGGGCTATTACCAGCTCCACATAGTTGCCTTTTGCCAATGACAGGCTGGGCAGAAATAGCCCTTTTTACTGGAGATTGGTTATTCATAGGACTGAGCATTGCCCCTCCTGAAAAAACCCCACACACAACCCAAGAGGAAGCAATGAGCACACAGCAAACGATGAGCAAGTCCTGTGAAGTTTCTGCGGTCCTGGGCTGATGAGGAAGGATAACAAGGGAAGAGCAAGCAAGGACTGCATATAAAGCCAAGCTCTCCCTATAGGGTAGCAGCTTGTCTGAATCATTCACACTGTCACCTCCTGGCAATGCCATTTCCTGAAGGGGTGTTCCCGTCCATCCCTGCAGCTGTTACAGAGCTCACTGGCAGCTCTCATGTGCAGCAGCTCCCAGGAGCATTTACAGCTGCTCAGTGCAGAGCAAAGAGCTTTTCAGCAGCTGGTGCTGGTGGGAGACAAGAGATCATGGTTTTATTTACTTCACAGCACGATAACGGTCATCAAACCGGTGGTTCTGCCTTCTCCAGCCAGGACTGACCGATTATATCCAGTCTCTTGAAAGGACTCACAGCATGCTATATGCTGCCCTCCTTGCTGCTCACCATGGCTTGTATCAGATGGAGATGGACTTGGTGTGATCGAAATCCTGACTGAGTCCTGGGCAAACCTCTGCTGTGCTGT